AAAATGACAAAGTGTCTAGCGAGCTCAAGTGCCTTTTGCGCAGGCCGTAACTTTTTTGTCTTTCATTTCCTATGAGTGAAATTCACGGAGGATGTAGCCCAGGTCCGGAGGAGTGCGTGGGTCCAAGCCCCATGTCTATAGCCCCCCTGGTTCGCCTTCTACGGGCCCGTGAAACCGCCACTTTCTTGACCGAGAATAGGCGCTCGTGAGCGGACACGGCCGCGCTGTCCCCCGCTGATTTCAGACCGACGTAACATTCCCGTCTCTTGTCCCCCGTGCGTGAAAATCACAGGGGTGGTAGCCCGGTCAGAGAGTCCCTGGGTCCAGACCGCGAGTCTCTGGGCCTCTGCGTTGATTTTTAACCAATTTCTGGAGATTCTGTATTCCTAGGCACACAGGCTTTTGGAGGAAAAAATGACAAAGTGTCTAGCGAGCTCAAGTGCCTTTTGCGCAGGCCGTAACTTTTTTGTCTTTCATTTCCTATGAGTGAAATTCACGGAGGATGTAGCCCAGGTCCGGAGGAGTGCGTGGGTCCAAGCCCCATGTCTATAGCCCCCTGGTTCGCCTTCTACGGGCCCGTGAAACCGCCACTTTCTTGACCGAGAATAGGCGCTCGTGAGCGGACACGGCCGCGCTGTCCCCCGCTGATTTCAGACCGACGTAACATTCCCGTCTCTTGTCCCCCGTGCGTGAAAATCACAGGGGTGGTAGCCCAGGTCAGAAGAGTCCCTGGGTCCAGACCGCGAGTCTCTGGGCCTCTGCGTTGATTTTTAACCAATTTCTGGAGATTCTGTATTCCTAGGCACAAGGCTTTTGGAGGAAAAAATGACAAAGTGTCTAGCGAGCTCAAGTGCCTTTTGCGCAGGCCGTAACTTTTTTGTCTTTCATTTCCTATGAGTGAAATTCACGGAGGATGTAGCCCAGGTCCGGAGGAGTGCGTGGGTCCAAGCCCCATGTCTATAGCCCCCCTGGTTCGCCTTCTACGGGCCCGTGAAACCGCCAGTTTCTTGACCGAGAATAGGCGCTCGTGAGCGGACACGGCCGCGCTGTCCCCCGCTGATTTCAGACCGACGTAACATTCCCGTCTCTTGTCCCCCGTGCGTGAAAATCACAGGGGTGGTAGCCCAGGTCAAGAAGAGTCCCTGGGTCCAGACCGCGAGTCTCTGGGCCTCTGCGTTGATTTTTAACCAATTTCTGGAGATTCTGTATTCCTAGGCACACAGGCTTTTGGAGGAAAAAATGACAAAGTGTCTAGCGAGCTCAAGTGCCTTTTGCGCAGGCCGTAACTTTTTTGTCTTTCATTTCCTATGAGTGAAATTCACGGAGGATGTAGCCCAGGTCCGGAGGAGTGCGTGGGTCCAAGCCCCATGTCTATAGCCCCCCTGGTTCGCCTTCTACGGGCCCGTGAAACCGCCAGTTTCTTGACCGAGAATAGGCGCTCGTGAGCGGACACGGCCGCGCTGTCCCCCGCTGATTTCAGACCGACGTAACATTCCCGTGTGCCGGTTCTAGGGCGGTTTGGAAATTCAGCCCGGGACTCCCGGGCTGACGAGAAATAACCCTCACTCTGCGTCCCCAAAACGGCTATAACTTTCCCGTCTCTTATTGCAGGGGATGAAATTTTCAGGGATGGTAGCCCAGGTCGAGACGCGTCCGTGGACGTCTCGGGCGTGTCGGTCCGACACCGGGGGCCGGTTCTAGGGCGGTTTGGAAATTCAGCCCGGGACTCCCGGGCTGACTAAAAACGTACCAAAACGGCTATAACTTTCCCGTCTCTTATTGCAGGGGGCTGAAATTTTCAGGGATGGTAGCCCAGGTCGAGACGCGTCCGTGGACGTCTCGGGCGTGTCGGTCCGACACCGGGGGCCGGTTCTAGAGCGGTTTGAAAATTCAGCCCGGGACTCCCGGGCTGACGAAAAAATCCTCACGCTGCGTCCCCAAAAAGGCGAGGTCAAACCACTTTCTCCAAGGGACCTATATGGGGAATATAGAGAGGGTGTTGGTCGATGAACAGAAACATAGACACATGTGGTATCTGCGGATTCGTCTCTACGAGGCCGTTCGAATGGTGCACACGGCATGCCTCTGCGGGGCTCCTGGTGGAAGTGATTCGAGCCAGACGGTTCCCTCACCTATATGGGGAATATGAGAGAGTATGTGTTTCAATCCAGAGACATCCAGGCTACAGGCAGAGAATATCAGTCCGATGGAAGGTGAGTGACTGTGGGATGACCTGAAGCGCCTGCCCGTCGTGGTCTCAATCTCGGAATGAGAATAAACCCATACAAATTTGGTATCTACGGATTCGTCTGGACGAGGCCGTTCGAATGGTACACACGGCATGCCTCTGCAGGGCCCCTGGTTGAAGTTATTCGAGCCAGAAGGTTCCTCCACACAGCATGCCTGACTCTATTCGCATGGCTCCGGCGCGGGCTAGGGGCTATCGGCGGACCTGTCGGTGGTGAGACCGAAACGCCCTGTCTCTCCCGGATGCACAGAGACGCCAGACTCCCACCTTGGGGTGCTGGGGCTGGGCCCTTATAGGCGCGGTGGTCGGGCGAAGAACACTTTTCTTGAAACCTAATGAGAGCCTTGACAGGCTCAGAGCGCTCACCCTCTGGGATCCCAAGTGGGATGACCAGCTATTAGACCCTGAATGGTGCACACGCTACGCTGTCTAAATACTAGGTCAAGCAGGCAGAGCTGGCCTAACATGTACACACTGCCCGTCACCATACCAATTGAGTTGGTCCTCGGATCAGCCCCGCTGGAGTCGGTCACGGCCCTGGCGGAGCGCTGGGAAGGGGATCAACTATAATGCCTAGAGGCCCCGGGCTGGTGGCTCTTGGCGGACCTGTCTGTGGCAAGAATGAGATTCCCTGTCTACCCCAGATTTCACAGAGACGTTGGGCCGCCACTCAGGCGTAGAGGTCAGAAGACACGCTTTCTCGTACCCCTCAGTAGGGCCCAGACAGGCTCCAAACGAAAGCCCACGAACGCCCCGCACTACGACCAGGGTGCGTTCGCCCGAGGGGGTAGGCATTACCAGTTCTGGCTCTCGGTGGGTCTGCGGCGCGTGCCGCGGCCACGTGAGGCCGCCCAGGGAAAAAAAGCCGAGGGCCCACCCCCTCAGTAGGGCCCAGACAGGCTCCAAACGAAAGCCCACGAACGCCCCGCACTCCGACCAGGGTGCGTTCGCCCGACGGGGTAGGCATTACCAGTTCTGGCTCTCGTGGGTCTGCGGCGCGTGCCGCGGCCACGTGAGGCCGCCCAGGGAAAAAAAGCCGAGGGCCCCTCTGGGGTGTCCCATAGCTGTCGTAGAGCCCGGGGCAGTCGGGAGTTTGTGGTGGGACTGAGGACTGGAGACACCGAGCGGGAGGCAGAGAGACAGAGTGCCTAGGCCTGTCCTCTGGTTTTCACTTGGTACCTCTCCCTCAGGCCTCTCTTCTCCCTTCTTCCCCCACACACGCTTCATGTCTCATTGCACAGGACGGGACCCCAGCACCTGCCTAGCAGGGCGGCACATGGCGAGAGGACGACGGCTGCGGCTGAGCCCCCGGGCTCAGGCGCCAGTCCTCTCGCGTAGTGACGCCCGCTGGCTCTAGACAGGCGGGGTACGTCCGTCCTCGGAACTTTGTCCCCGGCGCGGGGTTAAGGAGGCCTGGCCCGGGCCTCCCCCCCGCGCCACCCGCGGGTACCCAACGCTCGCCTCTCCCCCACGGGGAGAGGTGGGGGGTACTAAAGTCTCCTCGACCAGGGAACCCCCCCGGGGGCACCCTGGGACGGAGAGCGCCCGCGGGGTCCAGTCGTCTCCAGGCGACCCCTCGTCTTCCAGAGTCCAAGTGGCCTTCCTCGGAAACAAAAACCAAAAAAACTGAACGCAGCTAGCTGCGAGAACTAATGTGAATTGCAGGACACATTGATCATCGACACTTCGAACGCACCTTGCGGCCCCGGGTTGCTCCCGGGGCTACGCCTGTCTGAGGGTCGGTTTGTCATCCATCGGGAAACATGCACTCACCCGCGTGTCCCTCCCGCGGCTGGGGTTTCGCAGCGCGGCAGGGGGTCGATTCCTCTCGCAGGTTCGACCCTCGTCGGTCCGCGGTTCGTGCCCTCAATTGGAGCCGGAATTGTGTCCCACCTTCGGGCTCACACACCTCCCCCGTGTAGAGTCTTCCCTAACCCAAAGCGCCAGGCCTCCGCCTGCCGCGTGGTCCGGGCGCGGCTGTTGGTAAAATTGGATATTTCTGGGTTTGGAACCATTTTCTCACTCTTATGAGTATAACATACTGTATAAGAGGTCAATAAAAACATTCTGGGTTTAATAAAGACTGACAATCCTTACATGTGGCTCAGATTGGGTAGTCACTTGAGGAACAATACTTTTATGCATAATGACACAGCATCAAGCCGTGCAACAGTGATATGTAAGAGAAGCTCTTACGTAAGTTTGGGCTGTCCTTTATTAAGTTGTTCTTGTAAAAAAATATGTTGGAACTTAACTGAACTTAGTTAGTCCAATATAATGTGATTGCTTTTGGTCCTGGGTGCGCTGCGTTTTTTTAATATGAAATGCTGAAAACATGACTCACTTTTTCGTCTGAAAAAGCTGATCAAAATATTTGACAATTGTGATTTGTGAGTGCATTTGAAAACAATGTATAATTTTGTAGTTGGTTAGTCAGAAGCTAGATGGATTTTATTTCAAAGTTTTATGTGTTCTGAAAGTTAGGTATGCAGTTCTGTGAGAATACTGTCACAGTTGCCAATGGGAAAACGCGTCTTTTTTACCTATTATATAAAACATGTGACGCACAATTTGGAATCATTGTGTATTACATTAGAATTAGGCAATTACTACTTTAAATTGCTCCTGTGGTGTTCCAAACTTGTGTTTTTCTGCACAGGTGACAGACAATGGGCTAGCTCTGAATCAGACAGTGGGAGAGAGCCTTGAGCAGCTGAGCGTTGCGTTCCAGGAGCAGCCTGAGCATGTGTCCATGGTCCAGAAGCTCCAGGGCCAGCTAGACGAGCTGCTGCGGCTCGTGGAGGATGTGCCCTTCTGGACCAACACCCATGTGTCTCTGGAGGAGCTGGCCCGCACCACAGAGGCCTTGGACTTCTACAGGTCAGTCAGGACACTTACCCGCTTCTCTGACGTTTGAAATTAATCGTATGAGAGATGGACGCTCCTTAGTTATATTCTCTTTCAGCCCCTTTTGCATGTAATTCGAAAGCATCGAAAGTGATCTACATCTTACATCTGACGAAACAGTGACAGGGGGATAATAAGAACAAGTTGCTGCAATGTGCAAGATCGGAAATTAAATAAAACATCTAAACAATTACATTTATATAGAGTGATAAATGTTTGTCGGTTAATTGTTTACATAATCCCTTTTAACATTGTTATATGTTCAAATATCTTATACCAATATTCATACAGGTACAGTAAAAGGCCGTCCCTATAGCGCTTTACAAACACAAGACTTCCCAGAGTTCAGTTGACTGATTTCTGGAGCACCTGCTGATTGTGCTTCAGTCATGTGCACTTTCTACACTATAAGCTTTCTAAACCAGGAAAAGCCAAGGTTAAAGACCACCATTATGCTTAAATGCCAAAATGAACCCAGCTAAGTGCTGGACTCTACTGGCTGCGTGGAAAATGGAATAGTGGCCGTGTTTAGGGCTTTGTTTTAACCTCAGACCAATCAAACAAAAGAAGCGGTGTGTGATTTGCATGAGCTGTGGCTATGATCTATGCAAAGCACGGCATATTGAAGCATCGAGGACGTCGTAATGGATGAGGCAAAACTTAGTGAAAGCAATTGGTAAAAATGGGTGGAGAGAGAAAAGAACTCCAACATATCCAGGCTTTTTTGAAAGCGAGTCAATATTGACATTAAGCTGACATTTTTTTGTTTTTTTTAATAATCATTGTCATTAACAAACCCTTATAACCAAGATCTATAAGCATATATCAATACATGTATGATAATGTTGTAGAAATATTTTTCCTTTGTATTTCCAATGAGAAAACGGACCATACGCATTTTCGTCTATTTCGACTATTTCGTCTGTCCGCGTCTGTTGCACCCTGCGTAGACGCACTGCTCCCTACGCGCGTCATACGCAGGCAGTGGAGCCACTTCCATTCACCCTCATGGAGAAAACGGAGGTGAAACTGACACGTTTGGACGGATACGTAGTACGTTTTCCAGTCTTTATTTAAGACATAGTCTTTACATAGCCTTCACCTCAGATGCAGACCATGGCTTTCTTACACGTCCTGTAGAGAGAGAAGCAAGCCTGGCTGTAACCCTCCACCACCCAGGCCTCCTGGACTGGACCCTACTTCTACCTGGTTTTGCCTGGGCATCTTTCTGTGAAAGCCGGCACCTGGCCACATGCCTCCACAGCGACTTTCACTTAAGCAAAGCAGCACAGTCTATACAGTGCAAAAAGTCACTGGATTTAACTGAAGAATTTGGCTGTTTAGCTGGGACTAAAGTTCCAATGCCGGCCTTTAAAACCTCAAAATTATGCTCACGGTCTCCACTATTCCTGATCAAATCAAACTGAAGTTAAGTGCTTTAGATTTCACAGGTATGCTCTGGCTACGTCACTTTCATTTCCATGTTTTCTAGACAAATGACAGGACATTTTGTGGCATGACATTGAACAGTAGAGGAAGTGTAAACTCTCGCTCCATTTTTCTTCTTTTGAAGCTGCATGATTACAATCTTATATACCTTTGGTTCGTCATTTTCTTTTTCCATACTTTTTCACAGGTTTCTTCTTGACAGATAAATATTCAGAATCTGAGTCGACTTCATAACTTATGTTAAGGGACTCTTGACTAAGCTGCACAAACAAAAAAATTATTTTAATAATTCACACACAGACATACAGTACATAGGCACACAAGCTTCCTGGATGCATAGAGCTGACCTGCACGTTTCTTTGCTCTCTGCAGATGGCTGGGCTATCTGAGTTTGCTGCTCTTTGATGTTCTCATCTGTCTGCTGGTACTGTTCGGACTCATCCGCAACTCCAGAGGAACGCTTATTGGGTACAGTATGTTCTACCACCGGAAAGAGCTTTCTGGTCATCTCTTACATGTGTAAGACAAACAAACAGACACATGTTCCCAGCATCTAAATGTTCTACATTCTTAAAACATAAAATGTAAATATCCCCACAATCATGTTTTAGGGCAGGGGTCACCAACCTTTTTAAAGCTGAGGGCTACCTTAACATTCACAAATATTTCAAAAAATCTTACAATATTCACAAAAAAGGGTATTTGTAGTATATGTAAATCAATTTATTCTTTGTCAAAGTGACATCTATTTTGTGTAAATGAACATGAACATGTCACAATTTAATTCAACAAAAAAAGAACTCATTGTTTTTTCCAAATACTTGAGATTGTGTCATTTCCAACTTTTGCTTTATAAATGAACAATGATCAATGGACCGGGTAACATGGTGTTTTACTAAAACACTGTTCAATGTTGTTTGTCAGTTAATGAGAAACCTGGGATTCCATGTTGTCCACTAATTTGCTGTACTCTGGTGTATACAGTAGTTTGACACTGCCACTCTCAGTGACTCTTCCAGATTTGAATCACTTAGGTGTGTTCTGTGTTTATTTTTTATAAAATTCACATTGGAAAAGGCTGATTCACAGAGATAATTGGACCCAAAGAGACAAGCAACCTTCATAGCTGCTGTGCAGATAGATCTGTACTATTCCATGTCCACTGGGTTCCAAAAATTTGGGCAACTCAGATGTGTTTTAAGGTACAGGTCTTATTTCCATTTCCAGCTGCCCTGCATCCAAGGTGAGGGCTGTGCCTGCAAGATCTACTGACATAAAGGGATTTGAATGAATGACACACATGGTTCAATTTGCTCAAAATCACAAAATCTTTCATCAGTCTGTTAATCACTTGGTAGTAGTTTTCTACAGCTTTATCAAAAGCCACTGATGCAGAAACTTGTCACTGAGAACTTTTTGCACAGAGGGGAAGTGTACAACACTTTTTCTTTTCAAATGCGCAGAGAAAATGTTAATTTTAGCTTTAAAAGTGTTTACAGCACTTATATATTTGTGACAGTCTTACATGCCTTGCAACTCACAGTTCAAATTGTTCAGTTTTTCTGTGATGTCTGTTAAAAAGGCAAGATCAAGCAACCACTCAGTGTTGTCCAAGAGTGAGGTGTCCTCTTCTCTGCTCTGCATAAACTCATTTTCAAAATCCGCCCTCTGCTGAGCCATCGGATTTCTCCAAAAGCACCTTAAATGTCTTGTGTTGTTTGGCTTTGTCCCGAATACTATTGAGGATTTTGATAACGGGGGTCATAACGTGGTCAAACCCGGTCACTTTCGCACATATCGCCTGCTGGTGGATGATAGAGTGGTAGTGTAGGAAAGGTGGAAAGTCTTGGTCATTCTTGCAATGCGTAATGAAGCCCACACGACATCCTGCCATTGCGGTGCACCATCGGTAGTTACTGACACGAGCTTCTCCAGCGGCACTTTTTTCTCCACAAAAAAAAGTTTTCATCGCGTTGTAGATGTCCATTCCTCGCGTAGTTGTTCTCAGTGGTATGAGCGTGAGGAGCTCTTCTTTAGCGGAAAAATCCTCAAATACCATCCGAATGAACACCATTAATTGAGCTGTTCTACTGCTGTCCACAGACTCGTCACATTGGATGCTGAACCACTGGCATGTACTTAAGTCCTTGTCCAGCTGTCCAGGACATAGCAGACACTCTTCTGGTCACAGTACTTGCCCCAAGTTGTACTTCAGCTAGACTTGAGATAATCTCAGATCCATTTTTATTGTCTTTAAAAACAGTCTCTACGATTATCATCAGAGCACCCTTAACAATCTGTCCATCAGAAAACGTCTTCTTGTTTTTAATCAAGTAATGTGTAGCTCTGAATTAAGCTTCGGTTGCCTTTTGGGCCTTCTTCAGTGGTCTTATGAAAAAGCTCTGCTGCTTGGTCAAAGCGGCCTTTAACTCATGCGCTTTCTTCACCCGAAACTTTTCTTGGGGGGAAAGTTTTGGTGGAAGCTACCGTGAGTGGTTTGATAGTGACGCTCCACATGTTCTGCTTTGAAATCGCCACTGTCGCTCCACAAATAATAAATATATATATTATATACATATAATATTATATACAGTACATATATTGATATTTTGATTTAAAAAGTAAATTACATTGTAATATTCTGTGATAGAATATGCTGTGAGACATTACTGCATCATTCAACATTGTATCACATTCTGTTTGATACTTACGTCACATGTATCTTACGTGCTGCGTGACCTGTGATAGAGCGCAACCTGCCGTTACATTTTGTCATTGTCATTCTGCTCAACTGCCAGTAAACAGCACTACGAAACCCGGACTGTCGTACTTACTTTTTGTACATACGGTACATCTATTTTAAACATAGAAACATAACATGGTGTCAGAGTAAAAGGAACGAAGATGGATATGTCTGGAGTGCCTTCACCCCACATGGACTGGGACGCAAGAAACTTGCCCGAAGCTTGGCGTAAGTTCAAGTTACATGTTGAATTGATGCTGTCGGGACCGTTAAAGAAAAGAGGGGAAGACGAGAAATGCAGCTACCTTCTTCTTTGGGTCGGAGAAAAAGGTAGAGATATTTATAATACATGGACAATGTCCGAAGACGAAAGAAAGACATTGAAAGCATACTATGACCGCTTTGAAGCATATGTTTTGCCCAAAACAAACGTTATTTTTTCACGTTTCAAGTTTAACGAGAAAGTACAAGGAGCGCACGAGCCATTTGAACAGTTTGTAACGGATTTACGGCTGCTTGTAAAGGACTGTCAATACGCGAACTGTGAGGAAATGGTTAGAGACCGCGTCGTATTCGGGATCCTCTCACCAAGAGTACGAGAAAAACTGCTTAGCATGGGGTCTGATTTAACACTGGACAAGGCGATAGACATTGCTCGTTCCCATGAAGTTGCGCAGGAACAGTTAAAAACCATATCAGGCCGTCATGAACAGTCAGTACATGCCGTTAGCAGACCGTCTCACAACAATGTAGCGTCATGGAAACCACGGCAACACAGTGACGCTGGCAGCGCGGCGAGATTCACCACAACAGAAAGAAACAAAAAGTTCTACAACTCATGTAACTACTGTGGAAATAAATCACACTCAGCAAAAGAGATCTGTCCAGCAAAAGGGAAACAGTGCAAGTCGTGTAACAAATGGAACCATTTTTCAAAAGTTTGTCGTTCCAAACAAAGAAAAGCAGTGCACACAGTTGATGATAATGACCCAGAGACTGATTCGGATGATTTGTTTATTGATGCAGTGACACAGAAATATGACAAAGAACAGGTTTTTGCAGAAATCCTCGTGGGTCCAAACAAAAGTATGGTCAAATTCAAATTAGACACTGGTGCCTCAGTTAACGTTATTCCTTCAAGTATTGTCAAAAAACTAGGAATGCAGCACACTCTACAACAGTCGTCTCGCCCACTCTATGGCTATGGAGGTGAGCGGTTAGCTGTGAAAGGCAAGTGTAAAGTTGAATGCCAGTACAAGGACACAAAGCTACCTCTGCGAATCCATGTTGTCGACACATTAGCACCACCAGTGCTAGGGCTTCAAGCATGCCTTGATTTCAAGCTTATTAAACTGATACTATCTGTTTCAGATACAACAGGCATGTCGATTATGGATGAGTTTTCAGATGTTTTCACAGGAATAGGACTGTTTCCTGGTGAGTGCACCATCCATATTGACCCCGATGCTGTCCCTGTGATACATCCACCAAGGCGTGTCCCCATTGCTCTGCGTGAACGCCTGAGAGATGAACTGTCAAACATGGAGAAACAAGAAATCATCACCAAAGTCACAGAACCGACTGAATGGGTTAACTCAATGGTTGCAACGGAAAAACCACGCACAGGTAAACTTAGGGTTTGCTTAGATCCAAAGGATCTCAACAAAGCGATAAAACGCCCGCATTACCCATTGCCAACACTTGAGGATATTGTAGCAAAGCTATCAGGAGCATGTTACTTCAGCGTAATGGATGCTAGATCTGGGTATTGGGCAATAAAGCTTACAGAAGAATCCTCAAAGCTAACAACTTTTAACACTGTGTTTGGCCGATACAGATATCTGCGTCTGCCATTTGGACTCAGATCATCACAAGACGAATTCCAGCGCAAAATGGATGAGACTTTTGAAGGTCTCAATGGCGTTACAGCCATAGTATACGACGTTCTCATCTACGGCCAAAGCAGAGAAGAACATGATAAAAATCTACGCGCAATGCTGCAGCGCTCCAGGGAAAGGGGAGTAAAGCTCAACCCTGACAAGAGCACCGTCTGCGCAACCCAAGTAAGTTATTTCGGGCATTTAATAACAAAAGATGGAGTCAAACCTGACCCCGCAAAGATTGTGGCTGTCAGGGATATGGAGCCACCCAAGGACAAAGGTGAGCTTGAGACCATTCTTGGCATGGTTAACTATCTGTCAAAGTTTGCCCCCATGCTCGCAGACATCAACGCCCCACTGCGCCAGCTGTTAAAGGAGTCAAGCGCGTTTGTCTGGGATGCACAACACGACAAAGCATTTCGCCAAATGAAAGAACTCATAACCCGAGAGCCAGGCCCTGTCCTAGTTTACTATGACCCCAAGAAAGAGCTTAGGCTGCAAGTTGATGCATCTAAATATGGACTTGGTGCCACTCTGCTTCAAGAGGGTAAACCAATCGAGTATGCATCCAGATCACTCACAGATTGCGAAATCAATTATGCACAAATTGAAAAAGAGCTTTATGCCATCTTATTCGGATGCAAGCGTTTTCACCAATATGTGTATGGTCGTCACGTCATTGTGGAAAGTGACCACAAACCATTGGAATCAATTTTACGCAAACCACTCACTGCAGCACCTCCAAGATTACAAAGAATGATTCTCCAGCTACAAAGATACGACTTCACAATCATTCACAAACCAGGAAAAGACATTCCTCTCGCTGATACTCTCTCCCGGAAGTCACTTCATGATCCAGATAACAGCCTCAGAGAAGGTATGGACTTACAGGTGCATACAGTATGCAGTAGCTTACCAGTAAGCGACACAAAACTAAAGGAAATACAGACAGAGACCGACAAGGACACTCAGTTTACACTGCTAAAGAAGACAATCGAGGACGGATGGCCTGAGGAAAAGAAACAGTGTCCTCAGTTGATTGCAGAGTATTGGAACTATCGGGATGAACTGTCTCAAATCAATAATATCCTTTTCAAGGGAGAAAAGATAATAGTTCCACAGTCATTACGTCCAGAAATGTTGTCCCGAATCCACACAAGCCACCTGGGCATGGAAAAGTGCAAACAAAGAGCCCGTGACGTCCTGTTCTGGCCCGGAATGAACAAACAAATAGAAGACATGGTTGCACGGTGCCCAGTGTGTTTGGAGCACAGGCCATCAAACACGAAAGAGCCCATGATCAACCATACAATACCAGACAGGCCATGGCAAACAGTGGCTACTGACCTTTTCATTTGGAACAATGCTAACTACATTGTTACAGTTGACTATTACAGCAGGTACTTTGAGATTGACAAGCTCCACAGCACAACCGCCTCTGCAGTCATACATAAACTCAAAGCCACATTTGCTCGGCATGGTATCCCCGAAACTGTGATATCTGACAATGGCCCCCAATACAAGAGCAAGGAGTTTGAAACGTTTTCAAACTTATGGGAGTTCAAGCATATAACATCAAGTCCGTACTACCCACAGAGCAACGGCCTTGCAGAAAAGGCTGTACAAACAGTCAAGTCGCTCATGGAAAAAGCCAAATCAGATAACAAGGACCCATACCTGAGCATCCTTGAATATCGCAACACACCGGTGGACAATTTTAAAACACCTGCACAGCTGCTCATGAGTAGACGCCTTCGCTCCATCATTCCATGCACTCACCAGCAGCTCAAACCTAAAGCCATCAGCCACAGGGAAACTCTTACAAAAAGAGATCTTCGTCAAAAACATCAAAAGAAATATTATGACAGATCTTCAAAACCGCTCTCAGCTCTACGCAATGGACAAAGTGTTCGCTTTCAGGAAAGTGGACATTGGAAACCAGCATCTGTCATTCGTGCAGCCGACACTGCCAGATCTTACCACATTCAAACACCAGATGGACTGCAATACAGGAGAAACCGTCGTCACCTAATGGACTCTAATGAACCACCCATAGCTCACCATGGTGACCATTCTCAGCTGGAACATCCACCTGATAAGACTGAGCACAGTTCACAACCACCACCTATGACTACTACCGCTACTTACCATACCCGTTCTGGTCGCAAAGTTAAGCCGAGGGCTATCTTAGACCTGTAATAAGTTTATTAATGCATAGTGTTCAGTATATGCATATGTTGTGATTATTTGTGGTATTTCTGTGGTATTTTTCTTAGTTTTAGCACAGGTTCCTAATTCATTCAAAAGAAAATAATTAAACTAAATAACATTGTGCAATATCTTCATTTTTTTTATACCCTACAAATTATATGTACTATTTAGCTGTTTTTTTAGATACTATATATTTTGTTTTTCTTTTAAAAGAAGGGGGATGTAATATTCTGTGATAGAATATGCTGTGAGACATTACTGCATCATTCAACATTGTATCACATTCTGTTTGATACTTACGTCACATGTATCTTACGTGCTGCGTGACCTGTGACCTGCCGTTACATTTTGTCATTGTCATTCTGCTCAACTGCCAGTAAACAGCACTACGAAACCCGGACTGTCGTACTTACTTTTTGTACATACGGTACATCTATTTTAAACATAGAAACATAACATACATAAGGCGTAGAATTGTTTTTTTTTTAAAAAGGCTGACTTGTAATTTTTAGAACTAGTCCCACGGGCGACTGGGAAGGAGCCAACGGGCGACCGGGTGCCCGCGGACATAGGGTTGGTGACCCCTGTTTTAGGGCCTTGTTCCAGTATAGGTTCACATGTCTTAAATAATCTGCCCAATTTGAGGACTTATGTTTGTACATTTTCTTGATAATGATTGTTGCAATATTGACAAAGTTGACTTCTGACTGCAGCTGTCATTACATTTTCTAGCCCCACGCACATACACACACACAGACACACACACACACGCTCGCACGCTTGCACGCACGCACGTATGCACACACACACACGTACGCACACACACACCCACACACCCACACACACACACCCACACACACACACACACAAGAGGAAACTCTATAGTCAGGTAAATAAAATGATAGACCTAATGTTGTTCATTTGGTGGGTCGGTGATCTCAAAGACCCCTCTCTCTGTCCCGTTTCAGCGTGTGCCTCCTGGGCGTACTGACCCTGGTCATAAGCTGGGGGACTCTGGGTCTGGAGCTGGCTGCAGCTGCTGTAAGTCTTTCTCAAGTTAATTACTACTCCAGATTCATCTTACTTTTAAGAAGTCATTAATTACAAGTACAAATGACTTCTGCCAAAAACTGAATGTTTACCATTCACTGAATACTAAACATTTATATTTTATTTTAAATGGAATAAATGACAACATAGTGTACATATGTTCTGTATTTGTTCATTAAAGCAACAGTAAATCCACATATAATGGCATAAACATTATGTCTTTCTGTAGTAGAAAGTATTATTTCCTCTAAAAAAAGAAAAAAGAGGGCCTCTTGTTCAATAACAGAAAACTGTCTACAGTCCATGGAAACCCACTCGGCAAGGAACTATCTATTTTCTAATGAGTTCATAAAAATGTGTATTACTAGTTACAAGTTGTATTAAAACCCGTAAATGAATTGAAACATTTTGCTATTTGATTCAGCGTCAATGCGTTAATTTTTTAAACACGATTAATGAAAAATAGTAATTAAAGTGCGTTAACGAGATAATTTTGACAGCCCTAATACGTTTATATATCAAAACACAACACGCTGGAAGTGCATACAAAATTTGACAACAGTTGACAGACACACATAAGCATGCAGACACACAGATGCATGCAGCCTCATGCACGCAAGCAGACACATGCTTGCACACATACACAGACACACAGGCACACCTAGATACATACATTCACACGGACACACGTGCACAACCCCTCAAAGGCGAGCATGCAGACAGACACACACACACACACACAAACAGAGTGTGGAAGCAGGACTCTCCATGTGTCCTGTGTAGGGCTGGGATAAACGATTATTTTTTAAACGATTAATCTAGCAATTATTTTTTCGATGCATCGATTAATCTAACGATTATTTTTTTCGCTTCGATTCGATTTCGATTCGATTCTCGATTATCTCCCCATTAATTGACTAATATTGATGTATACATGTTGATTTAAATATTTTAATGAAAAAAACATGAATTCCTTCACAAAAAATATGTATTGCTTGCTCTTAAAATTAAAAAATAAGACATTCTTAGAGGTAGCATAAAACCTTAAAGCCTTGAAAACACAGCTTACTGAAAAAAGTGCATCTTATCATTCTTGAAACAAACATTTGATGCTTAGCATTCAATAAAAATATGAAAAAGTTCAGCCAAATACTTGTGTAGAGCAACTAAAAGAAAACAGTAACCAATGTAAACTTGAAGGCTTTAAGCTAAACAAAGAGTGCTTTTCCAGCAAAAACAGTGGGAGCCATCAGCCTGTCATGGCGTCCTTCCTGAACCAACAGAGTTTAACATTTAAGTTGAAGACACATAGGCCTATATTACTGAAGTCCATTAATTAAAGTGCATCTCTTAAATTCTTCATTCATATAAAAATAACAGTCAAAACTCTGCCACTCACCTTTTTCTTAAACTCAAAATTCAAAAATAAAATTCAAGTAAGAGTGTACAAGAGAAAAACAATGCATTGTGTAGCAAATAAAAAGGTCAACCAGTCATCCTTTCTTTTAGAGTTACTGAAAGAATACAGTAGAAGTCATCTCAGAGGACTTAAAACAACATTGAAGTCACCAGACCGATCAGAGAATCAATCAACATTTAAACACATTAAGGATATTGAACACATGTTGAAAAATGTCCATATACGGCGGGCATGACAGTGAATAATACATGTAGGGGCTATTACGGGCGCCAATATTCCGTTTGATACAAAGAAAGACAGACAGTGTAGAGTTGCCACAGGACGCGTCATCAGCCTACGTCAGCAGCCGCGGACTGCTATGAAAACATTAGCTTTGTGGTTTCACAGGCGCAGTTGACTGCTTAAACTAATAATAATAGATTTTATTTATAACGCACCTTTCATATGCAAAGCACATCTCAAGGTGCTACATCAGAATAAAAACACATATATACAAATGTTAAAATACATTAAAACATGGGCTGCAGATCAGCAGTAGGCCTTCCTGAATAGCTCCGTTTTCAGGTGCTTTTTGAAGCACTCCACAGACTGTGGCGCCCGCAGGTCTTGGGGCAGGGCGTTCCACAGGCGTGGTGATGCGGCTGAAAAAGTCCTGTCTCCCATGGAGTGAAGGCGTGTGATTGGCTGACTGAGACGGTGGGTGTTTGTGGACCGGAGGGATCGTGATGTGGACTGTAGGGTGAGGAGGTCTTGTAAGTACTCTGGGGCGTTGCTGTGGATGCATTGGTGAGTGAGAAGACAGATCTTATATTCAATACGGAGGTGTATGGGGAGCCAGTGGAGTTTACGGAGGACGGGGGTGATGTGCTCGAACTTGCGTGTCCTCGTCAGGACCCTGGCAGCACTGTTCTGAATATGCTGAAGCTTTTGAAGGCTTCTGCCAGGGATCCCGACGAGGAGGGCATTGCAATAGTCCAACCTGGAGGAGACAAAGGCGTGGACCAGCTTCTCAGCATCACAGAGGGAAAGAGAGGGGCGGAGTTTGGCAATGTTTCTTAAGTGAAAGTAAGCAGTTTTGGAGATATGTTGGATGTGTGGATGAAAAGTGAGGTGGGAGTCAAACCTGACACCGAGGTTTGTAACACAGAAGGAGGGGGTGATGGTATGACCAGAGAAATTAATGCAGTTTACAGACAGGGAACGAAGTTGGTGGGGGGTGCCAATTTGTAGAGCCTCTGTTTTAGTGCTGTTTAGCTGGAGAAAGTTTTGAGACATCCACGCCTCTATCTCCTCCAGGCAGGAGGTGAGTGCAGCGGGGGTGGATGAGGGAGAGGCTGGGTCCAGTCTCACATAGAGCTGAGTGTCATCGGCATAGCTGTGGAAGGACATGCCATGCCTGCCGATGACGTGGACGTGTATCATTCTCAGCGTTACACCGGTGTAACGCCGAGATACACTGTCTTGAAGAGATGCACTGCCTCAGCTGTTTATGATGTAATGCAAACCTACGCATGCGCGTCTCACGGCAGCCGAAGCATACCAAGATGGCGGATAATGGAAATAATAAATTTCATTCAATACATGTATCGTACTGTATTTAATATGATTAACAATAGTGTGTTCAAACAAAATATTTAATTAGATTGATTTTTTTCCCCATTTTCCATTATCAACCCGACAGACCAGTGTAAGAGTGTAGAGTGGCCACAGGACGCGTCATCAGCCTACGTCAGCAGCCGCGGACTGCTATGAAAACATTAGCTTTGTGGTTTCACAGGCGCAGTTGACTGCTTAAACTAAACTTTGCACAAAACTTTGACTCTTAAAACCCACATGTGACAAAACGGAACCATCAACATCTCGCCTCAAATTGCATTAAAAGTGGCATTCGTGTCTTAATTCGTTCGTATTTCAACTTTTAAAGCAATTCACGGTCCGCCATCTTGGTATGCTTCGGTTGCCGTGAGACGCGCATGCGCAGGTTTGCATTACATCATAAACAGCTGAGGCAGTGCATCTCTTCAAGACAGTGTATCTCGGCGTTACACCGGCTTGCACTTCTCTAACACGGCACTCGCATTGCTACCGCTCGCCGCCATCTTTGTTTTGTGTGTGACGCACCGACGCGCATATTATACGTCGGTGTATTTTTTGCGTCGACGTCACCGATTACGTCGACGCGTTGTCCCAGCCCTAGTCCTGTGCCAGAGTTTTGGAGACAGCACACCACACCACACTACAAATTGTGAGATTTTATACATATATTATCATTATACAAAGTTTTTTAGTTCAAAACAAAATAATAAAGCATAAAAAAGGAGAAAACTGAGGCACTCAATAGGTAGAGCAAAAGTTAAAAAGCTTTTATTAATACATGGCTAAAAGTGAAAAATGCCAACGCGTTTCGGCCTCTTAGGCCTTCTTCAGGGCATATGTTACATTAAAAAGGAAAATAGAATAATAAAGCTTCATTGTTTGCTGATTGCATTTATTCATTTCCTTGTTCATTCAAAGCTCAAGATGTAAAACATATATATTCTTTTTATTTAACTGCAGTTTTGTTTTCGCAAAGACAAATAAATCCTCTTTTTTTTCTATCTGCATGTATTTATTTTCTTCTTATCTTCATTTATTTCCTTTTTATTGATTTTATGTTTTATGTTTTTATTTTACAACACATTATTCTTTTCCTGTTTTGCAAATCAATGAAGGAGTGGGCCACAGACAGCGAGGCGAAAGCTTTTATTTTTTTTATTTTTTTATTTCATTATTTTATGAAAGTACAATACAAACATGGCAAAGTGCTGTTCGCAATAATAACATATGAGGGAACATTGGCAGTCCAGTGCAAATAGTGAGTGCAAAAGAATGAAAAAACAAAATATAAAACATAAAATAAAAAAACAGTAAAAAGTGCAAGGGGGTCATGGATGCAGATCAAAGGCAGTTTATAAAGTTCGTAGTTAGGTAGAGTCTATGGGGATTTCACTTAAATAGGAATAACATTTTGTGGCATTTGGTCCTTTCATTTGCTCCAAGGAATTAAGGTACATTTTAAAATAATAAAAAAAAAAAAAAAGAAAATGTGGGGGGACATTTCTGACATTTGCTTTTGTGTATACAGAATTTTGCAAGACACAAAATCCCATTAATACAGAGTTCAATTGTTTTGTTATTTGTTAGTGCCATGCCAAACGTTACATGGTCTCTTGAAATGACTGGCGTTGAAGGAAAAACATTACATGTACATAGATTTTCTTGTATGTTAAACCGTACTCGAAGTAGTTCTTTAGAGGGGTAAATATTGTTCATAATTTTGAAGTGTGTTTCTTTGGCCTTTGGGGCTATAGGGAAGGAAAAATACATAGTTCTAAGTTTAGAGACGGTCTTTTTATCAAATTTGTTTAGGATATCATTTTTATTTTGTAAGCCAGGGAATAATTCATCTGTCAAGTTTTTTCTAATGAAAAAATTATTACATTTCTTATCTAAAAATGATATCCTGCGTATCCTTGGAGAGGGTATATGTGTTTCCGTTGTCTGATGAGCTAATGAGTTTTTGGATAGAAAG